AGACACAATGGAATATTACTCAGCCACAAAAAGAATGATATCTTGCCATCTGCAACAACACGGATGGAGCTAGAGAATATTATCCTAAGCGAAATAAGTCAGTCAGAGAAAGAAAAATACCATATGATTTCACTCATACGTGGAATTTAAGATACAAAACAAACAAACAAAGGGGAACAAAAAGAGGAAGGCAAACCAAGAAAGAGACTCTTAAGTGTAAAGAACAAACTGATGGTTACCAGAAGTGAGGTGGGTGGGGAGACTGATAAAATAGGTGATGGAGAATTAAGGAGGGCACTTGTCAAAATGAGCATCAAGTGTTGTATGGAAGTGTTGAATCACTATATTGTACACCTGAAACTAATATTACACTGTATGTTAACTAACTGGAATTTAAATAAAAACTTAAAAAACAAAGAAGAATGTAAAATGGTGGAGGAAGATATACCCATACAAATACTAAGCAAAAGAAAGCCTATGTACTTGTATTAATACAAAACAGAGATCAAGACAAAGACTAGTACAAGAAACAAAGAGGATATATTCATCAAGAAGACACAGAAATCCTAAATGTGTAGAGATTTAACAACAAAGCACCAAAATATATGAAGCAAAAACTAAAAGAACTAAAGGAAGAAATGGACAAATCCACAGTCAGATTTGGAAATTTTAACATCTTTCTCTCAGCAACTAACAAAACAAGTAGATAAAATGGCAGTAATGATAGAGAGGATTTATATACATCACTATCAAGTACCTTGACAAAACTGATACCACACCCAACTGTCAAGAATACCACACCAAACTGTCAAAAGATGAGCTGAAAAGAGCTGAACTATCAGTTGTCAGAAAAACTAAGACAAGCCAAAATGAAAGTAACAGTCAAGCTTTTAATCACTTACTAATCACTTAGTACAAAAAGAGGCTAACCCAAAGAAAGCAATGGCTCCCCCACAGTTCTATGTTCCCTCATGGAATAGTACCTAGAGAGGGTCAGATGGATCAGCACAGATGTAGGGAATCACTTCACTGCCAACAGAGTACCAGACAAAATGATGAAACAAAGATGAACAATCTGTTCAACAAAGATGAACAATCTGAGTATTAATAAGAACAGTAACTGCTATGGACTGAAACTTATCAAATATATTTAAATCTTCAAGTTCATGATAATAATTTAAAAGGGTAACTTAGGATAAACTTTGGAAGATGCTGAAAAATGAGTAAAAGCAAGCTTTTATTCTACCTTTTTTACAGGTGCTGTACTTCAGAGTAACCAAGACACTGATGAAAGGATGGTTCCCTTTACAGAAGTATTCCAACTAATAATTACATAAGAAATAAGAGAACTAGAATATCATTTTGTAACTCTGATAAAATAATAAATTCCAAGTAAAGATACAATGGCTGCTAATATCACATAAAGGAAAACAACCAAATGTTATGCAGCACACACCATTATGTATGAAAGATTAGTGCAAACAAGCAAAACCACAAAAAAACCTGAACCTGATCAAGCCTCTAGAATTAAATACCAGTTTAGAAGAAATACAGGAACATGTAAAATGACACCACACATATACAATCAACAAAATCCAGAATACAGGTAACTCTGAAGAAAACTGTTTCTGGAACAAATAAACTGCAAGAAAAGAGAAAGAAAGATTAAGAAATATATCACACTATTACACTAAATCGACACTGTTTGGATCTTAATTCTAACAAATATTTATGGACAATGGGAGAAATGTGAACACTGACTTGCTATTTCATAACATTAAGAAAGTATTAAAGGTGGGTTTTTTTATAATGATGATATTGTGGTTATTTTTTTTTTTAAGATTTGATTTATTTATTTGAGAGAGAGGGAGTACACGCGAGCAGTGGGGAGAGAGAGAGAGAATCTGAAGCAGACTCCACACTGAGCTCAGAGCCAGACACCGGGCTCAATCCCACGACCGCAAAATCATGACCTAAACTGAAACCAAGAGTCAGACATTTAGCCGACTAAACCACCCAGGGACCCCATGGTTAAGTTTTTTAAGTAAAAAGTTCTTATCTTTAGATACACATAAAATATTTGTGGATGAAATACATATCTGGAATTTACTTCAAAATAATCCATTTTTTTGGTGGTGAGAGGGAGTAGTGGATCTATAGATGAAACATGTTTAGTTATAAATTGATATTTGTTGAAGCTTAGGGATGGGTAGGGTATATGGGGAAGCATTATACTTTTTAGTTTCATACATGTTTGAATTTTTCTATAAGAAGTTAAAGAAAAAAAGACTTGAAAGATAGATTCCAAATATGAACCATGATTCAGTGTAAGGAGGTTTTTTGAGTAACTGTTATTTTCTTCATCATTTTTTTTTGTATTTTCTAAGTCATACCAACAAACATGCACTACTTTGATATCAGAAAACAAGGAAATAATAGCTTTGTGAAATTTAAAAAAAGGACATGCAACGGTTAAAAAAAGTCTCAATAAAATCTGAGAAAAAAGAATAACAATAAAAAGATAAACTCTAAGACCTTTTCTTTTTTTTTTTTTTAACTTGGGTAATGGAGAAAAAGATGGGGAAGGGGAAAAATAAAGAAATGCACCCATTTATTATTCAAGAGTTGTGATTCAGGTAGAATTTATACCAGAAACATTAAAATAAACTAAAAGTAGGCCACTTCTAGAAATTTGCCCCAAAGATAAACATCTACAAATAGAAACCATATACACTGTTATTGATTGCTATATTATATAATGGCAAAATACTGGGGGAAAAAACTCAAATGCCCGCTCATGGAAGACTAGGTGAATAAACTCTTACACCCACACAACAGAATAGATAATTATAAAACAGAGTAAGAATAATGTCTGTAGGCTGCTAAGAATGATCTCCAGGATACATTAAACATGTGAGGGAAGAAAAAGGTGTAGTGTAGTGTACATAGAATACTCCTTTTTTAGTTAGAAATGGAGATGTAAAAAATACATGTATACATGTAAGTGTACATACATATACATACAAACACATACACATAAACATATTCATTTAAAAGAAAAATAGAAGAATACACCAAAGAAAAGTACAGGTAGTTATTATCTACACAGAGAAAAAGGAAACAGGCTGAAGGGGACAGGAATGAACACTGGCCTTCTCTGAATTCACCTTGTTCTCTAGTTTTGATTTTGGAGATAAGTAAATATTTTATATAATTTCAAAATAAAATTAAATCAAAGTGGGGGAAAAACAATCACTAAAAGTAGAAAGCAAGATGAAACAAATGAGCCTAACTGTAGGATAGGTCATATCCTATTGAAGTCTTGTTTTTCTGTATTCAGATAGTAAAAATATTGGTATTGTTAGTTTGAAACTCTCTCTCCCAATTCAAAAGAAGGCAGAAAAGAAGGAAAAGAGAATAGGGAACAGATGGGACAAGACAATGGATTTGACCCAAACCACATCAATGATCACACTAAATATAAATTGTATACTTAATTGTAAGACAGAAGTTGTCAAACGGGATAAAAACACAAGATCCAACTAAAGGCAGCCAACAAGAAATGCACTCCAACAACAGAACATAAATAGGTTAAAAATAAAAGGATAGAAAAAGATATTTCATGATAACACTAATGAAAAGAAAGTTGGAATGGCAACATTAAATATAAGACAAAGTAGATGCTCAGAGCGTCAGTACTACCAGGGATAAAGAAGACCATTTAATAATGATAAAGGGATCAATTCACCAACAGGATGTATTACCTGAAACTTTTATGTATCTAATAACAGAGCTTCAAAATACATGAAGGAGAAACTTACAGAAATTATGAGAAAGAAATAAATGCAACAGACAGAAAATCAGTAAAGGTACAGAGGATTTCAACAAGACTACACACCTACATTACCTAGCTGACATTTATGGAACTCTCTACCCAACAATAGCAGAATACAGTCTTTTCAAGTGCACACCAAACATTTACTAAGACCACACATTTTGGGTCACAAAACTACTCTTAATAAATTCTAAAGGATTCAAGTCATAAAAAGTATATTCTCTGAACACAATGGAATGAAATTAGAAATGAGTAACAAAAAGATCTCTGGAAGATCCTCATAATACCTGAAAACTAAATAACATATTTCTAAATAAACCATAAGTCAAAAGAGGAAATCAAAAGGAAAATTAGGAAGGAATTCAAACTGAAGGCAGAATAAATAAGTTTGGCAAGTGATAACTTTTGAGTTGGGCCTATGATGGTTCATTATACTTTTGTGCACGTTTGAAAATTACCAAACAGGGGCACCTGGAGCGGCTTAGTTGGTTAAATGTCAGGCTCTTGATCTCAGCTCAGGTCATGATCTCAGGATCCTGAGTTTGAGCCCCACCTCAAGCTCTGAGCTGGGCATGGAGCCTGCTTAAGATTCTCTCTCTCTCCCTCTCCCCCTCCCTCCCCACCCCACCGTCCCTCTCTGTCTTAAAAAAAAAAATTACCGAACAGAAAAAGTTAAAAAAGAATGCTGCTGTGTCAGAAATAACACAATATCGGGGCGCCTGGGTGGCTCAGTTGGTTAAGCGACTGCCTTCGGCTCGGGTCATGATCCTGGAGTCCCTGGATCGAGTCCCGCATCGGGCTCCCTGCTCGGCAGGGAGTCTGCTTCTCCCTCTGACCCTCCTCCCTCTCATGCTCTCTGTCTCTCATTCTCTCTGTCTCAAATAAATAAACAAAATCTTTAAAAAAAAAAAAAAAAGAAATAACACAATATCATCTCCTTTTTAATTTTATGAGTCTCAAATCCATTCTTCCTCAATTTAACTACTGTTGGGAAGTATCTACCACAATTAACTGCACATATTCCCTGCTCCCAATCTACAGAAAATTGCCTTGCCACCTCCATCATTTGAGAAAGCTTAAGTAGGAAATTTCAAAGAGAAAACAAAGATTCCTACATCCTGAAAAACTAAAGGCATTTAGGGAAACAGAGGAAACATCTACTCACCTTGGACTTTGCTTTTGAATGTATAACAGCCATTTTTTCCTCCTCTGGGCTCTACTCTCAGGAAAAGAAAATGGAATCATGAGATAGTAAACCTTTCTTAGGATATACTCTATATTAGAACACATGCTCTTACCCACCCAGCCCCCCAATCTACCCCTCATTTACCCAAGAGGAAAGTCAGAAGGAGAGTAGAACAGTTCTGCACTTTGTTTCAGAAAGAAGGTCCAAGACCACAGCTGTCTTGGGCAAGAATTAACTGCTGGATTCAAAACTGTCCACTGGAGATAGAGCCCTGCAGTGAAATACTACAGGTACTCAGTCTTCATTCAGGGGCTCAAACTTCTGACTTCTTTCCTTCCTGTCACCTTTCTGCATTCAACATTCTAAAGGCTGTAAGGTGAGAGGACACCTGGAAGCCAAAAGGAAACCTACATCTACAATCCCAGTGTGAACTAAGAATGGATACAGAAATGAAGCAATACAGGCCATGTGTGAAGGGGGACCACTGAGGTCAGAAGAGAAAGAAGTCAAGTTCTGTGAGGACAAAGCCACATGGGACTCATGACACATAGGCAGACTCAGTCCCAGAATGAACCCCCAAAATACAAAAACCCAATTTTATCTCTGTACCTCACTAAACTCCCATAAGATCACAGACTATAAAATATACAAATGACTAGACAAAGTCACACACGTTTCCATGGTCACACAGCCAAAGTCACCATCGCCAAATTAGTATTACACCTCAGACCACCTTTTATCTTAAACAAAATTCAATCATAAACAGAGCATACACACAATCACTCAAGCACATCCAAGCACCCTGTCAGGGATACACATGGCCAAAAACACCCTTTCACAGCAGCACTTTTACTCTCTTCACACAGTCATGAAAGCGGCACACTCACAGTCCCAACAGTCACACATACGGCATACACACAGCCATCCAATCAGAAAAATACAACCAAGTACCAGGTCAAAAAACCAAGTGGTCACAAACACCGTGCCACAGCAACACTCTCATAACACCTCAAAGTCACAAACTTCAGTAATACAATACACAGTCGCATACACAACCTCAAAGTGACCCAAGTACATCCAAACACCCTGTCACACAGCTCAGTCACAAGCAAACCCCCAGTCACATACGAGGTACACACACAATCACACTGTCACATAGGCACATTCCCAGTCAGTTAAGCACGCGGTCACAAACACATGGTCACAGCAGTTTTACTACACTCTCAGAGTCACAGCTCACCCTCACACAAACGCTTACACACAAAACCACAGTCGCACACATCCATTCGCCCACACCAATAACAGGCAGGCTGTCTCACAACACAAAACGGCAGGAGACCGTCACACACGCAATTCCAGCGACGCTTCCGCCCCGGCATACCGGACATCCTCACCTAGACAAAAGGTGCGGTTCAGGATCCAGGATCTGGCGCCCGGGGTCCAAGCCCCGATTTCGGGTTCGCCCGCCCAGCCGGAGCCCGGCCAAGCTTCTCCACAGACGCTGTCCTCCCCACGCGAGGTCCCCAAATCGCGCGAACAAACGGAAATGAAGCCGCATTGGGGAAGCGGTGACTCTGGGAAATGTAGTCCAACGCCGGGAAGGCTGTAGGCTGGCCGGCCAGGACGCTAGGATGTGCGCTTTACTAACCCTCCGCGAGGTTCCTGGACTCCGCGGCTAAAACCCGCTCGCGCAACGGCCGCGCCGCGGGTGTTTCTGGGAGTGCCCGCCTGCGCTCAGTGCGCAGGCGTCGGGCGCGCGCTCCTGGGTTGTGGCCGGAGACTGCCAGTTTTGAGTTGTCCCAGGGTCTTACCAGATCCGGAGAAGGTGGGACGGACCATCAGGCGGGCAGGTGCGGGGGAGGAGCTGGAGCTGAGCCAGGGATCAGACAGAGCCTCAGACTCAAAGAGACCGCCTGTGTGCCTTGCCAGGCCCTTTGGAGTGTGTGGGACAACGGGAGACGTTGTGGGGCGGACTGGGAGTCCCTCGGCGGCTGGATGTGTGGTTGTATTTCTGCCTGGTGTGATTCTCCATGCCCTTGGTGTGAGGTGGTTCGTACTCGAAGCGGCCTGGTAGTGACATAACTGTGGGATTGTCTGATGGAGGAAGGGACCTCTGCTGTTTTGGTTTGTTTTGTGTTCATAATTGAGAGTGGTTGCGTGAGTGGTGATGATCTGTTACGCAAATGTGCTTTTCTCATGCCTTTATTTCAGAGTGTAGGAGTTTGACTTCCAGAAGAGCGGGAGGTCTTCCCGATGGATGGTCAAGTTACTTCTTTCTTGGACACTAATTTGATCGGGAAAAAAAGGATATCAATTTATCTAGCAAATAATTTAGACATGATTTTTCTGTTGGATCAAATATACGTGTTATGGGGAAGAACGCAAAATCAACAGTTTTTTTCGTTGTCAAGAAACATGATTTCAAAGCCAGTCCTAGCTTAACTGCTTATTTCCTCTGGCACATCCCCGCAAAGTGGGCATCCATTCTCTTCTATTATGGGGACGTTATTGGGTAAGGTTGAGAGGCCATCGACTAATAAAATAATTAAATAACTTTATATATAAGAAGATTTGACCTTGGCTCATGGAGAGAAAATGAAGGTCTTGGTTTCAGCTCGGGCCATGATCTCATGGGTTGTGGGAAGGAGACCTGCATCAGGCTCCAGGGGAGCTGGCTTGAGCATTCTGTCCCTCTGCCCCTCCCCCACACAGGCGCAGGCGAATGTGTGTGTGCTCTCTAAATTTTTTTTTTTAATTCTCCTCTATACTAAGGTCATAATTTTTCGTTTTCTATATTCTTAAAGCTTTATAGTTTTGCCTTACACATTTTTTTTGTTATAAAATCTCTTGGAATCGATCTCTTTCTGTAGGACAAAAGTGGGGTGCAATTTGTGTGTTTGTGTGTATACCAATTGTCTCACATTATAAAAAGGCTATCCTTTCCCATCTTACCAACAGTCATAAATTAGGTTATCATATATATATATATATGGGACTGTTAGGGGGCTCTTTATTCAATTCTGTTGGTCAATTTATTATTCCCTGCAGTATATACTTATATATACATATTCTTAAGTAACATAGTATTATAATTTTAGTATAACACAAAGACCTATTTGGGACCTTTTTAATCCTCTTCACTATATAACTCTTTTACTATTCCCTTTATTTTTTATACTTTATTATTTCTTTGCTTTCTTTCAGTTTATTCTGCCATTTTTTCTCACATTTTAAGTTGGGTACTTAGTTTTTATACTTATAAATTCTTAAGGTTATAACTTTTCCTTTATGTACTACTTTGGCTGCATCCTACAGATTTTGGTATATGTAGTAGACTCATCATTCAGTTTTAAATACTTCTTTTTAAATTTGTGCTGATTTTTTCACCCATAAATAATTTGGAAGAATCTTTCTTAAGCATACAGATTTTTTTCTAATTATCCTTTGATGACTCATATCTAACAATTTTGTGGGCAGTGGAGTTGGTCTATATAAAATTGGTCCATTGAAATTTTTTCAGATTTGCTTTATGGCCTAATATATGTCTAAGTTTTCTGAATATTCAGTATGTCCTAAAAAATGATTTGTCTTCTGCAGTTATTAGTATAGTATATTTTTTAAATGTATCCATTAGATAAAGTTTGTAAATTTTTTGTCCAAATCCTTTATAATCATACTGATTTTTGTCTCTTAAATATCAGTTACTAAAAGAAATATGCAAAATCTCCCATTGTGGCTGTGATGTTATTTTTCCTGTCATTTCACTAATTTTGGCTTAAATGTATTTTTAGTAACACATACATTTAGAATTTATATAAATTCTTGGAGATTTAAACATCATTATGTGATCTTTTTATAATAATGCTTTTATTTAGGGGCGCCTGGGTGGCTCAGTCGTTAAGCGTCTGCCTTCGGCTCAGGTCATAATCCCAGGGTCCTGGGATCGAGTCCCGCATTGGGCTCCCTGCTCTACAGGGAGTCTGCTTCTCCCTCTGCCTGCCGCTCCCTCTGCTTGTGTTCCCTCTCTCGCTGTGTCTCTCTCTGTCGAATAAATAAATAAAATCTTTAAAAAAAAATAATGCTTTTATTTAAAGTCTATTTTATTCAATATTAATATAGCTACTTCAGCTTTCTTTTGATTAGTATTTTGACTGATGTTTTTTCTGTTCCCTTATTTTCAGCCTTTCTGTATAATTATTTTAATGTATATCTTGACAATAGCATATAATTATATTTATCCAGTCAGACATTTACTGACATATTTGTATTTATTTCTACCATTTTATCACATCACTATATATGTTATATGTAACTTTTTAAAAAAGATTTTATTTATTTGAGAGAGAGAGAAAAACAGCATTAGAGGGGAGAGGGTCAGAGGGAGAAGCAGGCTCCCCGCTGACCAGGGAGCCCAACGTGGGACTCAATCCCAGGACCCTGGGATCATGATCTGAGCCGAAGGCAGTTGCTTAACCAACTGAGCCACCCAGGCACCCTCTATGTAACTTTTTAATGTTTTCATTTCCCCCCCTTTATTCCTTCTTTAGATTGTTATCCTCTCCTTTCTTTTATGTCCTCCTCTTTTGGAAGGTATATATTCTATTTGCATTAATCTTTAACTTAGCAGGACATACTTAAGTTTTCAAAGTCTAAACTTACCATTTTTCCTGCCCAGCAGTATAATGATGTTAGAATACTTTACACCAATCATTGCTTCTACTAATTTAAATGCTATCATTGTAGTATATTTTAGTTATATGTGTGTGTATGCATGCACACATGTGCATATATGCATGTATGTGTACTTTTATTTCCATTTATTTTATACTAAATTTATTCCCAGGTCATAAGTTTTTGTTTCTTCAGTTTCTTCTGAGATATCTTTTTCTTCTGTGCAACTTCATCTTCTGGTTTAGGAACAATCTCCTCTCAGTAAGGATCATATTAATGTGGCAGGGAGAACTCACGTATGGATTAATCGGAGCTCTGTAAGTTCTGCACTGCATCTTGGGGACTTCGTTCACCAGAT